AGAGACTGCTGAAAATGTTTCAAAATTCCAGTTATTTAGGTCTCAAAATTGAAATAATTATCATCTGGTAGAAGAAAAAAACAAGTTTATTCGAGATCGATGGTTTGTAGACATACGGTGGAGTGCACATGACATAGCTAAAGACTGCCAGTGCTCAAAAGATTTCTGCATAACATTGTTCAGATGAAATAATCATCGATAGACTTTTGGTTTTTCAAGTTATTGAAAACACAGAAAACTATTCCCTTCGAATGGCCCATAAAACTGTGGTTATAATTCCCGGGCAATATATAACAGTACTTTGATTATCCTAATAAGTTCATGTTTAAACGCGGCTGCATCGTGCAAAAAAGCGTGCAATCATAAAAAAAAACTTGGTGTCGTTCAAGTACTTTTCCAAGGAACAGATTTTCATACCAATTAAGCCGCCATAAGGTCTCGATTTATTTAGAACTTCGCAAAAAGGTTATTAGAACTAACAAAGAATGAGAAAAAGTTGTTAACATTTCCATGATTAGAATTGTCATAATTAGTTTGGTATAAGGACACATACATTTCTTGAATTATTTCTGAATCAATTGAAGTAACTCGGTTTTTCTCAGTTTCAATGTTTTTTCCAACGCCTCTCCAAGCTGCTAAATGTCAGCTAGTGAAGATAAAAGATACCTAGGAGTTACTTTTAGACTTTCTAGTTTCCGTCGGTGAATAACCAAATGAAATACCGGAATCACTTTTGTTTTGTAGAAATGCACGAAGCTTTTGAAAAAATCTCGGTGCACTTTTTGCAAATTCCTCCTCTCTTTCCTTTTTTCTACTCGTCCTTTTCCTTGAAACTTCCGTTCCCCTCTAGAGAAACACAGCATGCTGTTCTCCACAGGTTTGGGACTTTGAGTTTTTTGTATGGTTGAAAACCCTCTAAATTGTATATCAATATCTTCAAAACACCAAGTTCCCTCTAATTTCATTTTCCTCATTTCAAAGTTTGGCAAACTCTCATTTGCTATAACTTGCCCAGAAACGGCCGCCTTTGGAGAGTTTTTTCAATTTACTGCCTTTTCACTATAAAATATAGGTGAAGTTATGGAATTAGTTTACTTCTGCCAACAGTTAAGCTACGCTGCCAAAGTCGCCGGCGAGTTTTTATTATATACCGTAAAAGTCATTTCCACATTCACTAACTATTTTCAACTAGGTCGAAAATTCATTTGGCCGAAACAAATATTACAATTAATATGATTCATATAATTAACCAGGACCAATAATTAGGACCCCAAACCTTGGAATTAGAAAAAATTTTGTATCGTGTCCCTTGTTGTTGAGCTAACCTTGGCAAGATCCTAAGTAGGGGGCCTTCTGCTTTATGGGTGGAAAATCTCTTTCGTTTACAAAATCCTAGGGTGAGGGTCCTCCAAAAATTTAAGGACCCCTTTCCTTGGATTTTGCTTTATGTGAGGACCGCCCTTAAGAAGGAAGGAACCCCCTTTGGATCAGGGACACAATACAATACAATTCCAGACTGTTTTATTTAGTTCAAATAGCCGCAAAAACTAGTTCGAATCTTTTTACAATGATTTTTTGAAATTGCAAGAAAATTGTATGACTAGCATTTTTCCATACATTTGATGGATGGAGTTGTAAGATAAGCATTTTCGGTGTAGGAAATTGTAAGACAAGCATTTTTGGTTTATGGAGGTCAACCTGGGCCGCAGCAAAAAGATAAAAAACGTTTCACAAAAAAAAACCTAGTCAGTATACTAATTATTAACCTTGTGATGCGGATAAAAGAGCTGCGTTTAGTGAATGGACAAGTTTATCTTTACAATTTAGCTTACAAGTTTTTTAAAAAATCTTCAGAACACTTGCAATTGCATATTTTCGACAAATTCATTAATAGTTTTTAGGGGAGCACAAAAAACAATGTTGGCCAACTGAAAAAAAGTCAAAACAATCTCAGATACACCCTTAGATGAAATAAATATAGAATCTTTAAAATTTTGAGCGAGATAAAACTACTGCAACTGTTCTAAATGTTCTATATTATTTAGCGCGGGGAAATTTCTCGAGTCTGATGGACTGAAAGTCTCAAAGCTTTGTCAACAAATCAGTGTTTGATCTTCGAAACTTTTCCAATTATTGGTCTTTAAAATCGAATTTCTGCTCTACAGGCAATTCGCTTTGAGAACGGGTCAAAAACGTCGTTTTTGCTTTTTTTTAAAACAAATTGCATCCAAAAATTGTTTATTTTTTGTTTTTTGCCCACATTTGCTTTTAAATTGATCTCGTTGGGTAGTGCTTACCCGGGTTGATGTCCATAGACTTACTCAGTAAATTTTCTAAAACAGATCTCAAGGAATCTTTTTCAGATCTAAATTTCAGATCTGAAATAGGTTGTGAAATGTATAAATAACGCTTGGATACTTTAAGAATTGGTTATTTCAGATCCTTTTTCAGGTCTGAAATTTGTTTTTGATGACTATTTTAGATCTGAAAACATCTATTTCAGATCTAATTTCAGATCTGAATTTTAGTTTTTCTTGGTTATTTCAGATCTGAAAAATCAATGATTCGGACAGAATCTTTGCTTTTTTGATTTTATTAGCTTCTGCTAGCTACTAGCAGGTACTCAGCACAGTCTCAAGTTGGAGACTGCCGAAGTACGTTTCCCCAAGCATGAGATAAACACTGGAAATGCATAAGTAGCGCATGAAAATCAAAAAATTTACAGGTCGTCTAACAGTTTTTAAAATCTTTTTAACACAGTTGAACAGAAAATTTAGTTCGAAAAAAACTGTTTGTAAACTATTCGGAAGTTTTTCTGACCGCTAGTTAACCTAAACATAATTGTGCATTTTTTGCTCGAAATGCATAAATTATAATTTAATAAAGAATTTCTCAATTGTGCTTTCTTATCTGAAATTTTGTTTTTCAAGATGAATTCAATTCTGAAAATTTTCCATTTCAGATCCAAATTTCAGATCTGAAACTTGTAGTTTTTTTATCAAGCTCTGAAATAAAGAATTTCAGATCTGAGAATAAACTTATATAAGAAGTAAAGAATTTCAGATCTTATACAGAAAATCCCCTGGGTACGGTATGTGCAAACTATGAAAAAAAGCTTATCGCACAAAATTCATACAACATTTAAAAATGTTCTGAAATTTTTAATTATCATTTTTGGTCTATTTATCTCTTTTGAAGCTTTCTGAAAAAAATGATTTAAAGTTTTCGATAAAAAATGATGATCCTACAATTTATTGTATGATAATTCTAAGATAATTTTTTTTGTCATAGAAGATCAAACCTTTCAAAACTCACCAAAAAAAGTCTGGTAATTGTAAACAGATTTAAATAATCAGATCTAAGATAGAGGGCATTCTGACAATCAAAAACATAATTTTAATTTCATTTGGAAAAAATGCTTATCATATAGTTTTCAAATATAAAAATTGAATGATATGCTTTTTTCATACACAAAAGAAAAATTTAAAGTACAAAACTTAATCTTTTTTTGGTTGCAAATTGCTTTTGTGCTCAAAAAAAATTTAGGAAAAAATTTTTTGCATGCAAAATTTGACTTTATATGTTTATAAAGTAGTCCAGGATGAGTTTTTTACCCGGAAAAACCCAAAAGTCGAAAGGAAGTGTTTTTTTTGTATAAACAATTATTATCTTTTGTCTCATTTGCTAAAATAAAAATAAATTTGCAAAAAGCCATGCTTTTTTTTCTCAATCACCAAAATTTTCAAAGTAAAAATTATCTAGCCATATTCAAAAAGCTACTTTTTTTTGCTATATAAGTTCGTGTGAAAATGTTAAAATTGACTGTTATGGCTACAATCACCAAATGCAGCTTATCTGCGTGGTAACTGCCAGTAATATTCTTCTTTTCTTATGAAAGAAGACCTTGGAAAAATGGTTAACATACAACTTCATAATTTGCTGGTTTCAGAGAATTTTGATATAAAAAGACTGATAAAAAAGCTCAGTTTTTAATTTTAGAGTATGAAACAAATGCTTGTTAGAAAGTTTCATAGCATGGAAAAATCGCTTTTTAATACACTTACCTTTGCTCTAGGAAATTGTATGAAAGGGTATGATGAAATTTTTTTCATAAAAGAAAATTGTATGATAAGCATTTTTTGTCTACCCGGGTAATGAACTGGTTATGAAACTGTACGCCCCAGTGGATCTTCCTAGAATTTTTGCAGAGAAAATTTTGATGTTTTTCTGTGACATATTTTTTGGATAGCTTCTCTTATCCGAGAAATTGAAGGACGCTAAAGTTTCTTAATCATTGGACCAGCTACGATTAAATTTTCAACAAGGGAGGTTGATTGGGTGTACCAATCTCAATCAGGGCTGATTATAGCCAATAAATGTAAGGCTGCGATATAATTTTACTACAAGGGAGAAATTGCTTTTTTTTAAATAAATTGAATGATTAGATATTGAGTTATTAGAGTATATCCAGAAAATCGGTTAGCTTTAATGTATTTATTCTTATGATTTTCAAGAAATGTGGTTAGCTCATACAGAACATCACAAACTTTCTAAATTTTACACGGTGAATCTATTTATTCTTATGATTTTCAAGAAAACTGGTTAGCTATAACAAAACATCACAAATTTTCAAAATTTTACACAGTCAAAGATTTTATTCTTATAATTTTTCAGATTATGTCACTAATGCAAGGATATTTAGAAATAAAGTGGAATAGCCGGTTGTTGTTCAAGCAGCACAGAACATTGCAATTATTGTGATTTTTTTAAAAAATTAACCAACAAAAATTTAAAACTAACAAAAATATAAAATATAGACATTTTTAACATGTTTAATATTTTTTGTGGTCCCTTTTTGTGCTATTGACAAAAAGGACTAAATGCTAATTCAGAAGAAATTATTAATCAATTTTTCCTTATACAATGAAGGCTCAGCAACTTTAGTTCAAATTGAACAAGTATGAAGAGTAACTTTTTGAAATTCTAATTTCGTCTGAACAGCAAAATCTTCAAACCGGTTTTTCTCGACACTGAGAAAATTTTTAGAAACTTTCACGTATAGGTCGAATCAAGAATTGCTGGGATACATTTTAGATATCGCTCAAAACCAATTGACGGTTATTTGTGTTCAACGATTTTGCCAGAAAAATGTTCAAAAATACGCGAATTTATAGTTTTCTCCAAGGGTGGGGGGCCTTTTTTTTCGAAAAAAAAAATCGGTAATTTTTTGACATTTTCTAGATGTTGACAAATAATAATTTTCGGAGCAACGTCATATCAGTATCAGGAACCTATTCTGCTTATATTTGAAAAAAGCAGACCATAATTCAGATTAAGGGCATTTTTTGAAAGATTTTGACCAAAAAATTGTTACTGATTTGTAAAGCAGCTTTCTTGTCAAAATGAGTATGCATGGAAGATCAAAGAAGCATAATTTTCGAAGGGTTCGAAGGTCAAAATTAAATGAAGGGCGAATGATGTTGCGCAAATCCGATCAAAGTTAATCAAATATAGGAGGGGCGGTCGCGACACATACAGACACAACAAGCTAAACATACTATAAAAATAATCAATACTACTGCGCCTGTCATCGCAAACGCTTTTACACGCGATTTCTTATCTTGGAACACCACCAGCTCATGGTCCGACATAAAGATGCACATTCTGGAGCAAAATTCTTCATAGCCTCTTTTCATTTCATTTGTTTCTCTTCTCAATTCGGTTCCTAATTACACAGAAAACTTTGAGCTTCTTTAAACAGTGACTGATATTTGGACGTTTTTCTGGTCCATTTTTTCATTCAGTCTCTGAATTGAAGACGATTTTGTTTTGGTTTGTTGCAAGAACACACACCTTAAACTTTCGTTTTTCTGCCATTTTTTTTCTTAAAGTGTGGAATTTCATAGGACTCAGGGCGCTCTTATCTCCTAAAATTCAATTCGTCTGGGAAAACAAAAAAGAAACCATATTTTCAAGTTTCACCTCTTCGTTGACGGTCCTTAGCTTTGGTTGAAGTGTGAATGATGCTGACATTGGAAGAAAGTTCTTCATTTAGAGGACACAAGTCAGGCCTATCATGGGGCATATCGCAATACTGCGAAGCATCCACACTCCAAATTTCGAAACAAAGTAATTTCACGTTGTAGTCGAACACTTTGAGGAACTTTAGTCCGAGTTTCACGCATCCTTCTGCCATCTCCTTCGAGAAGTACAATTCATCAAAACTGATGCAGAATTCTATTTCAGCCTTCTCCTTGAACAAAATTGATTTTTAATTTCGTTTTAAAACCATAAAAGATCCAATTTTTTGGTTGACAGTCACGGTTTAAAATTAAGAATAAAAAAGAAAAAAAAATGCTGTATTTGTATTACCCGCATTAGAGTTTCATGGATAACAATTGGTTGTATTGGATATTCATTTTCAATTTCCATATATTTTTAAGATTATCAATTTTAACCAATTGATATGGATTTTAACCTATATTTTTCTCAAATCAATAATATCCTTTTTAAACGAATATAGTCAGTTTTGATAGATTATGATCATTTCTTAAAATAAAATTAGTCTGAAACTTTCAATGTTTGACAGTGGCTTTTGGTGAAGATTTCTTCTTTGTAATAGCGGGGACACTAATTTTAGGTGTTCTACAACCCCAAAAAGGTTATGTTGAAGGCAACTATTCGGTCGGTATTATGGTACTTGCTCCCTTTGTGTACAGTTCAAGGGTTGTCTCGTTTGCTCGATACGATCGCAAGAAGTTCCAATTGTAATAAATTCAGATAATATACTTCCGAAGACCTAATTTCCCAATTACAATTTAACTTCCAACTAACTCAACCAAGCGAATCTCTCTCTCTCTCTCTCTCTCTCTCTCTCTCTCTCTCTCTAGAGAACCGTAATTCACCAAATACGAGCAGCAAATTGACACAACAACTCAAATCGAAATGCTAAAATTAACATTGACTCCACAGATGACTATTCCTTTGAGGAACTGATTTCTCTAACTTCAGGAATCACTGTTCCAACCTAACCCTAAGAATAAACTATGTAATAAATTCGTAATCTCTCGTCTCTGCAACAATTGTTTTCTAACTACAAATGAGAACCAACCATTCCCTTTCACATCACAATTGTTCTACCTATAGGTAGGCTACCCGTAACCTTTTCGTTATGTTTATCTATTTGAGTTTCAGTTATAATTATAGTCATGATCGTCCCTACAAGTCCTGCCATTTACTTTGGTACCTCCTACGTAAGGTCCTAACTTAAATCTTCCAATTTCGACACTAGTCCTATATTCTAAGCTCATCATCGGTATCTCCAATAAGGTGTGCAATTATCAAGTGTAAATTCACCTCTAGCCAAGTTATGTTTAATTAGTAAACCTTTCAAGGTTTTTATTTAATCCAGCTGAAAAACTTCCAGCTCTACTCTATTCCAATCGCGACTTTTCTAGATGTTATGGGAACGTAATTTTTTAAATAGGGTCAAATTGTGCCAATAATTCACCTCGGGGGAGCTAAGTGGATATAGCGTGCGTTCAAGTTATTTAGGAGACCTACTTTCCATGTTACGCTTCTATTACTGCCGTGAATCTCTGGCTTTTCTACTATGTTGGCCCTAAATTCCCAAAGGTCATTTGAAAGTCAGCCTGGGGTCATTTGGGGTCATTTTTCTTATCTGGTTTTAGAATATGATAGAGGTACTACCTACCAAGTTCATCCCTATCCCATTTCAACTTCCTAATTGATCACATTTCTACAGTCTAATAACATTTTTCTCGCGAAAAAGATATTAACACCGGAAGAAGTTGCCGGAAGAGTTTTATTCAGTAATGGTTTTTTTGAGGTTGAGGTCTAGTTTCTTTTGCCCCTACAAAATCAAAAGATCCCCGCTCCTTATTCTGTGTATATTTCTGGTTTAAGGGGTTTTTCTTAAAAGCTAAAAACTTCCGGCTCAAATGTCAGATTTGGTTCAAACTCTGATATACGACGTAACTTACCGTTATCTATCATTTTTTAAAGCTTTGAGTCCCTGCGTTCAGTGGGCGCCGAGAAATGACTTAGGAGGTCCGGGATGAGAACTATTTACTAAGTGGCATTTGTCAGCGCTGTATTTGTGGAAGCTTTTAACTCCCAATATTTCATGATTATATGTATTTCATAAAAGAGCCGTAAGTGTAATCTACCTTAATGTTTTCAAAAAACGCCCTATGGTTTCGGAGGACGTGAAAGTTTTTATACCCAATGTTAATAAATGGGCAACAGTTGGTTTTTTCGATTTTCGAAGAGGAAACTAATGGTTTTAAAAACCATTAGTTTCCTCTTTCACCAGGCTTCTACATGTTCCTCATTGGTGCTATGAACGCGCTCGGTGGAAAGACTTTCGGGAACCGGTGTTGATGTTGACTGGGGAAGTCTACTTTTTTCTGTCCTATCTTAATACATGGACAAGAGATGGTTTTTCCATGACCTACTGGTTTCCTCCCGCTCCAGGGTTCTACATGTGCCTCATTGCTGCTATTTAAGTCCCCATGAGGGTGGAGGATTTTACTACACGCATGTAGGACTTTATTTTCGGTTTTTCGCAAAGTAACTAAAATGACTCTGAAACCTGAACGTTCTCTGAACTTAAATTGTCCGATTCGTTCATCTTAGACGAGTAATCTATCGCAACGTACACTTCTAACACACTTCAAATACGAGGTAATCCTATCAATTGAGTTCTGATTTTCTCGATAAATTAGTAGATCACCGATCCTACATTTCGCATCAGATAAAATTAGATCTACTTTTGCTTAGAAAATTGATGTCCAGTTTTCTATTTTTCTGCTGACAATGTTTTCGCATAAGTATCTTTTTAGTATCTTACCTTGCTGACATTGATTTATCCTCGCTAATCCAATATACGTCCTTTTTCATCCCTCCAGTATTTGACACTCTCCATCCATTTTTATCCCTGTCCCTCATTTTCACAAAATCCCTCCCTGTGCGCTTATAACTTTTCTTGCCCCACCCACATTGCCCAAATAACTTCCATCTAAAGTTGTGTGCGCTACATTTAACCCCTCCCCAAGATCCACACATTACCCCACCCCCACACGTTACCCCACCCCCACACGTTACCCCAGTGAAAAAGGGAATTGGGGGGAAGGAGTGCAAAAAAGTGCGAGTGGGGGTGTGGAAGGGATGTTGGGAGGGGGGGGGGGGGTAAAAATTAAAAATAAGGGCGGATGCGGATGAGTAAGTGAGTGTTGCGTGTAAACAGAGCTGAACATTATGTTCGTTCGGGTTCGACTTTGCAGAACGCTGCGAAATTTAGACTACACATCTAGAAAAACTGATCAATTTTCATGGATTTCATGAACAAAAAACAATCGATTATAGTGAAACTGAAAACGGTTTCTACTCAAATAATGGATTTTCAAATATTGAAAGTAATTTAAAATCTATTCTCATGGTCAAATGGGTCATGAAAATTGATCATTTTGCATTAGTTTTTGCCAATATAATCCACTACAATGCATGTATTCCCATGACGTTTTTATGCAGGTAGTCTATTGGAAAATCATCAAAGTATAATAATCATTTGAGTTGACTTTTGTTTAAAAGACGCTAAGTTGAAACGCCATGTCTGATGGGCCGATCGTTCGTGTTTTAGCTCACGACGGGGAAAATCAAATCAAAAACTCTGAAATTTGTTTATTGTTCAAACTGCATAAACAAACTAGCAAACTGCGTTTTCACGCTCACAAATGCTCAATGTGGCCATGCTTCAAAACTGCAGAGCTATGCCTAGAGTCTGAAACGTTTTTTCAGCCGTGATGAAAAATTGCCATAGCTCGCAACGTTTCAAGTCCCCAAAAACAAAAAATCAGAGCCATAAATCTCAGCTCGAATTCTGATGAGTCGAAGTTTTAGTCAACGAATATACTTTACTAATTATTTTGTCAAATGAGTCGAACAAATACTTTAACTACCTTGACATAATAATAGTTCATTATTCGTTGGTTAAAACTTCGACTCATCGTGGGCTTCAGTTTCGACCCATCAGAACTCGAGATGAGAATAAGGGTGCTAGTTTTTTAAAAACTAGTACGCGATCTAGGGGAACTCAACTATGAGAAAAGATTGAAAATATAGAATTTCGGTCGCGGGAGAAAATTGGTCACAAAAACTTGAAATAAGTCGCGAATTGTCTCAAAATTAGTCTGGGTGTACTCTACAAATCAGTCGTTCTGTATTTAAAAATGCACCTGGACATAATTTTTTGAAAATTGAGTCATAGTTTCCAAATCGACTTGGAAGCTTTGATGCCAAAGAAAAGTCAATGAAGTGAGACTTATTTTAGTTGGTTTTCTTCGGTCGCGTCAAAAATCGTTAATTGCACTGGTCGCAGATAACTTTTTTGAGTTGCGCCGGTCGCGGATCTCTTTGGCCTGCAGATTCTGGAAATACCGATTTTTGGTCGCGACAATCTTCTGGACATACCAAAATTTGGTACCGATACCGAACTTCAATTTTCTTGAAGAGTTTATCTAACATCAGTTTCATCGAAAAAAAACTACTTTAAGCAATACTTAAAAACTAGTCGCAGCAGTTGTAAGCTATTTGTTTATTTTAAATGAACGTAGGTTTCAACTCGCTGGGATAATTATTCTCGTCAGACAAACTTTTTATATTATTTTTTTATTACGCTTACCAAAATCTGCTACACAATCTTCATCAGAACTCGTTACAAACCAAAATTAAGACCAGCTAATTGATCCTATCATTTTGGACTCATCATTGCGTGCTAGGGAAATTTTTTTTTCAAAATATTTTTTTTTCATCAATTTTTGATTATATTCAAAAAAATGTCAGGCTCTTCAAACGTCAGTCAGAAGATGGAAAACTCAAGGTTTTTGCCTGATACGAGCTGGCAGCCGCCTTTTTGAGCTTTATTTTTGGTCAATTATCGGTGACATGCCGATTTGGCTCAATTCTAACCTTAAGTCGCAACCTCGAATAACCTTATACATTAAAACGCGTAGCTAAACGTACAATTAGTTTGATCAATGGAAACCTCACGGGACCCAGACACACAGCAGGAGGACTTGCCAAAGACACCTCTTTGGACACATTGAGGACGTTGGTGACCTCGAAACCGGCTTCCATGCCCACTCTTTCTGACAAGTAGGCAACTTGCACACAAATCTGCTGGTGGAGATTATACTTGTCTTCATTAATAGTGACGCAACACAAACACTTCCCGTTTTCACACGAGTGACAATCTTTTTCAAAGTAGAACTCTGGCTAAAATGAATAAGTATTTACTTTATTTTTGTCTAAGATTTGTTTTGTTGAAATTTTTCCAGTTTCTGACTTACTGTTTCAAATCCTAAAACAGCTGCTTGAAATCCTAAAATCAATTTTTTTTTACTTTTAAATATAACTTCATAATTTCAAGTGTAAGAAATGTTGTAAAACCTGCTGAAGCAAGAAGTAGCCAACTGAAGTACTGAATCCATTTCATTTCGGACATCTTTTGATGAACTAGGACCCTTAAAAAAGTGTCAGCTGAAGAAAATTCCTCCAAATATGGTTGATTTCTAATAATTCTTTAGCCACACTGAACATGGCATTCACTGTACTTTATGTAAGTGGACTAGAAGTAGTTGATGGCACTATTCGCAGAATACTATACTCATAGAGTAATTTCAGATACGGTACACCGTCTGCTCGTCACTCTATCTTATTTTCGGCCGGATAGGTTCGTGCAACTTCTTAGTCTAATACCGATCTTAATCTTACTCTTATATCTCCTAGTCTCAATAGATCTAGTGTACACCGGTTTATGCGAGTTAGTTCTAGAATGAGAACAACTGTATTCTAAGTTTAATTCAAAGTGTTCTGAGGTGAAACTACAAGTAGCTTCAAGACTTACAACTAAGTTGGTTGTTAGTTTGATGGAGTATGATTGGTTAGTATTCAATATTTTATGGAGATAAAATATCATAATAATAACCAATGATAAATACTAGTTTAGATCTGGTTCCAATTAGCTGAAAACCCAATATCAATAAAAGAAGTGCAACAAAGTTTCATAAAAATACTAGGTATATGTATGCGGAATCCACTGAAACTTTGTTTATGGAATCCACTTACATTTTGGAACATATTTTAAGACTGGTCTCTGGAATCATATCACAAAAATATCCGATAAGAGATAAAATATCTGAATAATATCCAATATTAAACTCTAGTTTAGATCTGGTACCAATTGGAGCAGGAGCAAAAATTAAAACTTTTATTTTTTAATTAAAAATTTGCTATGAATATTTTAGCGCTAAAAATAGTTTGTCCAAACAGGGATTAGTTTCTTAATTTTTAAAACTGTAAAGATGTAATCTTTCTCTAATCCTTTCCCTGGTCAATCCCCCCCCCCCCCCCCGATTTCGATCAATCGAAGCAACTACTGCCACTTATCCCATTAAAGGTTAATAAAGCAAATGCTTTAATCCAATAAGCTTGCTTCAATAAATCTTAAAATTTTAAAAGAACATAAAAATTTGACAGTTTTCAGAACCACTAATACTTCGTGACCTTGCACCAACTTTTTTAGAAGCAATTTAAGGTAAGCAATCTTGTTGATTAAAGTTAAGGGGATTTAAATATTACTAATTTTGAAAAATTCTAGACTAATTTATGCGCACTATCAAGTGATTTCAAATATATCGAAGAAAAATTTACGCCAATTATTTGAGCGTGCCGAGTTATAGAGCAATCAAAATTCCTCTAAAATGAACTGAGGCATACCAATTGGTGATATTAATTAACTATATCTGTCCAAATATCAGCAATTAAAATTACATTGTCTGTTAAAAGGAAAAGAATCAAGAAAGTTCAAAATTGAAATTACGAAAAACTTTGCACCAATTTATTTTACCAAAACCCTTGCGACCCCAGTTCAAAGGCAGTAAAAAAAATTCGCAGCTTTTTTTGCTATAAATAATCTTGTTTGAAAAAAGCATGAACAAATTTATTATACATGCTGCGCATCGCTAAAAAGCCGGTAGATAGAGCATTTTACCATCCCAAATTGCCCAATGGGTTTTTTGGAACCAATTTTTGTTCCGGCTTTCGAAGAAAGTAGGGAATTTATATGCTCGGGGTGCTTTTTTGTTTAGACCGGGGGATCATCCATGGGTCTATCTTCGTGGTCATCACTAGACTATCCTGACTTAGAGATTGCTGTGAAATGCTCAGTATTAGTCTAACGTGACTTTAAGCGCTGTGATACTTTGATGCTGAAACTTTGACGCGCTATATTTACGCGTGGCAAAATATCCCGCTCCTCAAAATCGTTCCAAAATCACTTGAGGCAGGCTAATTGTCTTATTAACACCACACACGCACGACTTTTAATATTCAGCTCAAAATTCATTTTTTATTAATGTTTTTTGTATCCAAAAATTATTCGAGATCTTTTTATGGACATACATACAGACAAACTCTTTTAATTACTTTAATGTTTTTAAATCTAAGTCAAACATCTGGACAGAAATATTTGAATAAAGCAGGGATTTTCTTAAAAAAGCAAGGATGCTTTAATTCTAGTCTGATTTCTGATCACAAATTAGCGATATCAAAGTGTTACGTATGAATTTATAAAGAAAATCTTTAGTTTTGTTCTGAGTTTTGTCTATTGTCGCCCACTGAAGCTGTCTGTCACTTGATTATTATCTACCACTTTGCTATCCAGTGTGTTGAGAGCTGAAACAGCTGTTTTGTGAAGTTTAAGAGATTACAGTTGGGACAATTTATACGATTGAACTATCTTGTTGAATACGCGTTTTCGTCATGCAAGAAACAGCGTGTGAATGGGAATAAATACACTGGCAATTACAGCACTCAAGCCAAAAAAGTGCATGGCGGCCCCAATGCTGCAGGAGCAATGTACTACACGTTTTACCTGGATTGCAACAAAAAAAATCGGGTTCAGCCCCTCATCATTTTATTACGCTAAAACTTTGACAGCAGCTCAAGTTACGGTGTTATTGACGGATATTTGCAAAAAAAAATTTGGAGGCAGCGCAAACCCTTATTTCGAAATTTTAATTGTGCGTGAGCTAGCGGGGACAAGATGAGCTACATAACTGGATGCCGCATTTCTGGATGCGGAATAAATACACTGGCAATTACAGCACTCAAGCCAAAAAAGTGCATGGAGGCCCCAATGCTGCGGGAGCAATGGACTACACGTTTTACCTGGATTGCAACAAAAAAACAGGGTTCAGCCCCTCATCATTTTTTTACGCTAAAACTTTGACAGCAGCTCAAGTTACGGTGTTATCGACGGATATTTGCAAAAAAAAACTTTTGGAGGCAGCGCAAACCCTCATTTCAAAATTTTACATGTGCGTGGGCTAGCGGGGACAAAATGAGCTACATAACTGGATGCCGCATTTCATCCGAGGGCGATGAATGCGTTCGAATAGTTATTCGAATAGGAATTTAACGAAATGATCGAGACGTACCAACTTTTGTAAGCAATTGGACAGAAATTGTTGGAAATTTCCACTCAATACTCAGCGGATTTGGGTAACCTGTTGCGTAGAAGACTTAAATGGGGGATGCAAACAATCGTTTATCGGTTAATATGTATGCTTCAACCAATCAGCGTGTATTTACAAGGCTGAAATGTCACCAAATAAGGGCAAATAAGGGCGTTTAAACGTCAAGCAACCGTAAGACGCAAATTTACATATCAGAGTGTAATGACTGAAAAGGCGAGCTAGTATTTGGAGCAATTATAGAGTGGAAATTAAGTGAGTCATGTCAAGGTACAACTTTTCTGATTCCTTCAAATTTTTTGTAACAAATATTTTAATCAAAAGAAACTTAACAAGATCCTCTCTCGATATCCAGAGATCACACGTGGGAATAGCTCGGAGATAGAAGTAAATTTGGAGGCGTTAACACAAGGATCCAGTGACGTATAAACAACACTGTGATTACAAATCGATCGGCGTTTGCAGGGGAAATTTTTCCTCCAACATAGAATACCAGATTGGCAAGGAGAGTCATTCGACGTGAGTGCAAGGTTTTCAAGAAAAACGAGTACATGTCGGAACTTTTCAGCCTCAAAACGAGAGAGGCCAACTTCAAATGAGAAGCGCAAATGATAACCATTCGTGACATGATTGCTGCTTAGGTCACAGAATTGGAAAGCAAATGGCGAGCCATGGAGGCATACCTTGGACAACACGTAAGCTACTACCTTGTCAAGGAAAACTATCTGTGAATGGATGAGCGCCTCATCATCCCAATCCTTTTGCATGCTGCAGTTGTAAATAGAATCCAAAGTTTCCATCAAGGAAGGGGAACATAATAGATCCGGCGTGTGACGCGTGGTTCCCGTACACCAACTTGAGCCTGATGAGCGCCGCTGACCGATGTCAGCAAATTTTAATTGTGTGTAAAAACTTAACTCTCAAAACTTATGTGCACCAAAGGAGACATATAAAAAGTATACGAACCAAGGAAATCAACCGAATGCCTACTTCCTGATTTTTGAGGCCCGATCAAATACCTGAATCAATCGGAAAACATGTCATACTAGCGGTGAACAGATTCTTGCGGGAGCAGCTCGGAGACAAAAGTATTGTAAGCAAACTTGGAGGCGATAACATTAGAATCCTGTGGCCTAAAGACTAACACGATGGTTACAAATCCGTCGGCCTTTGCAGGGGAGATTTTTCCACCAAAATACTAAAACTATACCAAATTGGCAATGAGCGCTATCCCGCGGTGTGCAAAAAATTCAAGAAAACCGACTAACTGTTGGAGTTTTTCATCAGCCTTAAATTGATTGAGGCCAACTTCAAGGTAAACCCGCAGATGATAACCATTCGACACATGATTGTTGCTAAGGACTCAGAACTGTAAGAGAAAGCGCGAGCCGTGGGAGCCTACCTTAGACAACATGTGAGCTTCTTCCATGTCAAAGAGCTCGTTCTGTGGACGGACGAGCTCCTCGTCATATCCCAATTCTTGTACAAATCGCAGCTGTAATTAGATATCAAAATTTTCACAATGGAAGGGGGATATGTTAGATGAGAAGCGTGACGTGTATTTCCCGTACATCTACTGGAGCCTGGTAGCCACCGCCGAGGGATGTCGGCAAAGTAGAAATGCGGTTAAAAGCCTAAAATTTAAAAATTGTGTTCGCCAAAGGTGACATAGAAAAAAAAACGGACCAAGAAAAACAATCGAATGTCTATTAATTGATTTTCGAAGCCCAATTAAATTTTTGAATGAGTCGGAAAAACATGTTTTGTAAGTGGTGGTTCGACTCTTGCGCTGGCTCTTGGCTATGATCTGTAATATAACTAAATTGGATAAGGTCCTGAACTTCATTAGACCCTATATATCAATTCATGGAGTACCGAGGAAAATTTACATGGATCAAGGATACAGTTTTACATCAAAGGCAGTTAAAGGAAGTTGCAGCATTGCTAGATTGAAATCATTTAATCTTCAGAAAAAGATCACCAAAACT